ATCTAGTCCAAACCCCTGCTTACAGCAGGAACATTCTTGTTTAAACCATCCCTGCAAAGTGTTTGATTAATCTGCTCTTAAAAACCTCCAAGGATGGAGATTCCATACCCTACCTAGGTAAACTGTTCCAATGTTTGGCCATCTTCATAGGCTAAAAACAGGAGTTAATTTCTAGTGGGGAAATTCTGTAGAAGTTTCCTCCCACTAGAAATAACTCTGACATTGTTCAGCCTGCAGCTGCCCCCCTCTCCCTTGGTCTCCATGCCTTGCACAGATCAGTAATCAGTCTGGGGAAGACATGCGGAGCAGGCTGTTCCACTTTTCCTGGTCCTAGGGGAATGGAGTAACGGGGCAAAACCCCACACCAACTGCCCAGACCAGGGACCCCAGTGGGGCTGCAGATGTTGCCTTTTTTAAATTTGTTTTCAAAGCCACTGCTCATAGGCAAGTACAGGGCTCAAGTACTGAGCCAATCCTACTACTCCCCTCCTCTTCTGAACAATAATTCTGTATATGGTCATAGTTAAACCTGCAATAATATATTGGATATTAGGAAGAACTTTCTTACTTAAATTGATATTTTGTCCTATCTTCCACAGTCATTGAGATTAGTCTCTCACCAACCTCTTCATAACCACTCTTCTTATATTTAAAAACTGCTATCAATCCCCACTCCATCTTTTCTTATTCAGACAAAAAAAACAGCTCTTCAAACCTTCCCTTGTGTAGCAGGACAGTAGGGAGAGCTCCTGTGCTGAGCCACCCACCTCACTGTGCTCAACCAAAAATCATACTTCAAGTGCCTCCCCTGAGGAGCCTACAACCAGCCAACCCCTTCTTGGAGCACACCCGCAAGCCTAGGGTAACCACCACCACCACCACCTGGGCCTGGGTCTTTGTTAGGGCTCTGTGCAGCCCAGGGTACACAGACCCTACAGACCTTGGGGGTGCTTTGCCCTAGCAGGATATATCTGGGTGCTTCTTATAGCTGGGAGCATTAAGAGTAGCCTCCCTTAGTTAGCTGAGCAAAGGGAGCTATAAGGCTAATCTCACCCTCTTAAGTGCACACAGTTAATGCTTGCCATCATAGATAGCTTTATTGATCAAAGAGGGAGAGCATGGGGAAGGAATACAAAACAAAAGGAAAATTGAAAGGAAACTGTCCTGAGCAAAGCAGCATAGGCTGGTTAGCCTTTTGATATGCAATTAGAACACTTAAATGTAAGCTTCTAGCTAAATTTCAGGTAAGTTATTCACATATACATCCAGAGACTTCTGGAGGCCCATGTTTCTGTGTGTGTATGTTTCCAAAAAGATGTCTCACATCTCCCAAGATGGAGGGACCCTTTAAATAACCCTTAAGATCTCATCACCTCGACCCAACCAAATCCAGGTATTTTCTGAGCACCCCTGAGGCTGCCCCATTTATTTGAAAAACAACAGCCCTCACGTTGAGAAGTGACCACTGCCTTAGGACCACCCCCAGGTCAGTGGCAGGAAGTTTAACAAAGCAACCTGGATACAGGAAAATATGCAGCCCAATTCCCTAGGTGACCAGGTGGTTGCCTAAGCAACCAGGGTGATAGACACTTAGCAGAGAGATTGAAACAGGAAAACCCATGGGGGTGGGGAGAGGGAGGAGATGGTGGAGCACCCGATACAAGGCAAAGGGAGTGAGAGGTTTATTACCTTGTAAGTCATGTTTCCTAGACCTCTAAATTATTTCTGTTGCTCCACTCTGGACTCTTTCCAATTCCTCTGTCTTTCAAGTGTGAGGCCCAAAAGTGGATACAGTTCTTCACTGGAGGTCTCACTTGTATTGAACAGTATATATTATTTCCCTTAATTTCTAGATGACACTTTTATTAATGCATCCCAGCTTTTTTGCAACAAGGGCATACTTCTGAATCATAATCTTTGCTTTTCTGTCTTTCTCCTTTCCTACCTTCTCTATCACCCAACTGTGCTATTTGTTCTTTATTAGAACTGACCATAGGTGATGGTTTTCAGTTCCTAAGGCTTTAATCCACCATCGGAAAAATATTCTGGGATTGATTTGCCTCATGCAGTGGAGAATAAATAACAGTAGGTTAAGGCTGTGTTTACACTAGTGCTCAGAGTTGAAACTCAGGGCCTAATTAGATTTAGATTCAGATTTTATGATGTTAAAATGCTTAAGAACACTTTGTGATAGTTTCTAAAGTGAAACTGAGAAAATATCACAAGAGCAGTAAATCGCACAGAATGTTGACTCTCTTGAACGATGGAAGTCGTATTAATGACAAAGTTGTAGGCATTTTGTGAGTCCCCATTATAGCCTATGGCTGAAACACCATCGAAATTCTGAAACAGCTCTGAAACAGTTTTGGTCAAAATGAAATGGGACAGTGATTCGAAATACCAAAATGAATCACTGTCCCTCTGAAATGCCGAATCTGAAACCAAAACAAAACACAGGCATTTCACACAGCACTATTACCTATGCTTCTCCATTACCTGTATTTAAATAAATTACAGGAATGCAAGGTAATTATACTCTCTAGGATGAAAAACCCTCCTTTCCTCCTTTGAGCGTTATAATTAGAAGTTCTTTAAACTCCATGTGCTTGGGAAAAGGAAAAAAAGGAGGATAGAGAAAAATCAACCTGGATATGCCTCAAAATATGAGTTATATCTCCCTTATACAAATTGAAACTGAAAAGTTTTCAATAATACATTATGTAATGTAAATTAGGGCTGTGCAAAATTCAAAGCTGTTGTATTGCATTTCGAGCTCAAAACAGCGAAATCAAAATGAAACAAAAGGGTTCGAAATAGATTCAAAACAAAATGATGGCATTCAAAACGTTTAAGAAGTTTTTTAACATTTCCAGTTTCAAAGCAACCCGGTGGCAGGAGGTGGAGGAGAGCCAGGGCTGTGCTCTCAGTGGCTCCGCCAGCCCCATGGAGCTCAACCCAGGCCCCCCAGCCCCATGGAGCTCAACCCAGTGGTGGGAGGCAGCAGGAGAGCCAGTGGCAGACCCACTCTGAGCACAGCCCTGGCTCTGAGTGCAGCCCTGGACAGTGACTCTCTGCTGCCTCCTGCTGCCAGGCTCAGCTCTGCGGGACTGGCAGAGCCACTCGGAGTGCAGCCCAGCAGTGGGAGGTGGGGAGAGCCAGGGCTATGCTCTGAGTGGCTCTGCCAGTCCAACAGAGCTCAACCTGCCCTCCCAGTGTTGCCACCAAGTGCTGAGAAGAGCCTGGTGCCACTCCTGCTGCAGCCCCATGAGTGGCTGATGCTGCCTGCCTGCAGCCACTGGGCTGCATCATGCCCCGAACCCCCTGGCGTGACACAGCCCAGCGGCTGCTGGCAGGTAGCAGCGGCAGCTTCCTGTCATCCCACACACAGATCCAGGGGCCCACACCCCCAGGAGGAATCTGGCATAGCCCACAGCTCTTCTGGAGGTGCTGGCCCCCAGATCTGTGTGCAGGATAACAGGAGGCTGCCACTGTTGCATGGGGCCAGCAGTAGCAGCAATCTTCCTAGTGCTGGGTGCCGGCTGCACCTGGCACTGGTCCCAGGCAGCAGCGGCAGCCTACTGGCATCCCATGTGCAGATCCGGGGGCCTGCACCTCTAGGAGGGCTGTGCCAGACTCCTCCCAGGGGTGTGGGCCCCCAGATCTGTACACGGGATGACAGCAGGCTGCCACTGCTGGCAAGTGATATGCATTTTGCTTTCAACTTTTTGAGACACAGTTTCACAAAAACTCCTGTACCTATCTCCTTGAAACTTGGCAGGCATCATGCCCTCAGAAGGGGCTACCATCTTTGCATTTACCATCTGAATCAGGCAAGAAATGGCAAAGTTATAGGCATTTTCATGATTCCCCATTATAACCTAGTGCAAAATGTAAAAATGCGTCAAAACAGTGCAAGTTTTGACAAAACAAAACAGAACATTGTTTCAAAATGAAACAAAATTATGAAACGAAACACCGTCCCTTCAAAATGGTGAAATGGAAGTCCAAACAAAACAGTGCTGTTTCACACAGCCCTAATGTAAATCATTTTGTTAATTAATAGTTACTTGCCTTTGCTGTCCCATGATTACAGACTAAATTAATTTGATTGCAAGACTTGTGTAGCAAACGAATATCAATACTACTCAACATAATATAGCACTGCCCTGCAGTTTTTACCATTCCTATAATGCTCATTTTGGTTTAAAATGATGGGCTATGCAATAGCCACTTAACTCATTACATACAGTTTGTACAATGTATGTCTTGATAACTCATAGGGGGGTTTCAGTTTCTATTCATCAAGATGGTCAAGCTGCTCTTGAGCAAACTCACTGTCAATAGACAAGCCACCTGTAAAATTCATCAAAAATCATTTCCAGATAATAGTTTCTATCTGAGGCTCTGTCGCACTTATTAGTTGCAAGTACTCCCATTTTGACCATTGGTTTCACTCATTAAATATATCCTGTCAGCTAAATCCTGTATACAGTCTCAGGCTCATTTTTATGATGAGTAATTTTAGAATGTAGAAGCTGCTGAGTGGTTCCTGTGCTAAGTGAGAAAGCCTGTGTTTATGTATCGATTAGAAGCATTGGCTAAAAATGAATAAATGAAAATTACATGTTTTGGAATAGTGTTGATCTGGAGAACACTAAAAACATTGCTTAGAAAGCTTTCATCATCTACATGGGTCCACTTTCTGAATGGCTGCCGCAGTATCAAGATGCTGTGGGTCATATGCTTGAAAACTGTTTTATTTCCTTTTGTTTTATGGCCAGTTGTAAACTGCAGTGCAGAATTGATGTTATCTGAAAGCTAATAATTTTTAATTGAAGAAATTATGTAGGGTCAAAATCACTTTGGGAAATTTGATCAAGTTGGACAATTACCCAAATAGCTCTTGACTAATGAATTGCTTGCCCAAGCCCTTTGAAGGACAAGGCAGGCTGTGAATCACCATCAACGTTACATTTTAGAAATATGAACAAATGGCTTACTAAACGGTGTGACCTATTAATGCCATGTTGCTTTAGATGAATGGAGGATGAGCTTCTGTGTTCTTCAGCCTATTCAGATCATGTTCTGAAATTAAACCAACATATCTTTCTACAACCAAGAACTAGTATATTATCTAGTGAAATATCTCATTAGTCATTGGAAAGTGCTCTTGCTGGCTTAAAATAAAGACTCCATTTTGGCCAGACTGTTTTAATAATGCGAGTGTCATTGCAGTAAATATTTGAAATGCATAAAGTAAAATGTAATTCCCATTTCCCATAAAACATGCATTTAATAAAGATATTAGTATGCATTATATTAAAGACTCCATAATAAAAATCATTAACACCGGTTTTCTGAAACAATGGATGTTGATGGCTCAATTAAAAGAAAACTTTTAGTGCAAACCTAGCAAATTCCAGGCTTAAGGGAAGTCATTAATTCAAAATTAATGCTTTCAGAGATCAAACATTTCTAAAATATATAAAGGGTCAAAACAAACATATTGCCAAAAAATAAACTGCAGCTGAATACAGAGTGACAAAATTAACTTTCAGACATCTTCTGAGGTTGTTTACTTTTCATATGCTTATTCGATCATCTTTGGGAGAACATAGATGTATTAGCTGTCCAAACCAGAAACCACTTCTTCTGAGGAAACAACACTTTTCCTTCTTTTAGGGCACAGGTAACAGAAGCCATGGAAGAAGATGAAATAACCTAAGGAGAGATGGTAGAAAAAAAACATAGAGATGAGAGCTATGAAGGATGTCAAACCAAGAGGGAAGAACTAAAGGGAAAGAAAGGCATTGCTGAGATGGCTACTGTATCAGTAAAAATATTACAGGAAAGTAATGTGAACCAAACAAAGAGAGGAACTTGGAGGAAAAGGGTGGCCCTTATATATTGAGAAGATTAGATGACACTAGAGAAAACAAGAAAGAAGCAAAGCTGTG